TATATATATATATATAATCCTTGTTAAGTAGATTTGGAATTTATCATAAGGACAATGAGAAGCTTTTGAAAGGTATGTTTGTGTGTATATATGTTGTTGTTGTTATGTGCCGTTGAATCGGCCCGACTTATAGGACCCCTCCTTGGGTTTCTGAGGCAGTGTCACTACAGAAGTAGATTGCCCAACCTTCCTTCCGAGGAGTGGCTGGTGGGTTTGAACCGCAGCCTTCTGGTTAGCAGTCAAGTGCCTTAGGCACTATGCCACCAGAGCTCCCGTGTGTGTGTGTGTGTGTGTGTGTATAGATAGATAGATACACACACACACACACACACATATATATATTTGTATATATATAAAATCTTACTTATGATAAAGTCATTATTAATGGTGAATTATGTGTTAAGGGCAGAATAACTGTTAGAACTCAGGTCCCTTGCCTTCTTTCTTTTATATAAGTTTCTTTCTTATTAAGATAATAATAGCGATAATATATTGATATTCTACTGCCTTTTCTACACTGATTCTAATACCACCTATAGTTTTCAGATTGTGTCCTCTTTCCTCAGTCCAGTTTACTCTTCTTTAAAATGTGATTTATTTGTTGCTGTTGTTGCTGAGAATATACACAGCACAACATAAACAATTTCTGCATGTACAGTTTAGTAACACTGATTACATTCTTCAGTTTATGCAGCCATTCTCACCCTCCTTTTCTGATTAACATAAACTCATTTCTCCCTAAATTTCCTATCTAATCTTTCAAATTGCTCTTGTCAATTTGATCCCATATAGATCGTTCTTAAAAAAGCATAATATCAAGGTAGGCATTCTTTACTAGTTAACCTAAAGTATTGTTTAGTTTTCAGAAGACGTTAGGGGATATTTTGGTTTAAGGTTTTAAAGATTATCTCAGGGCATCAGTTTTGGGAGTTCATCCAGCCTCTATGACTCCAGAAACTCTGGATTACAGGAGAATCCAGTTGACTCTTTATCAAGCATTTTTCATTTAATTATCTATGTCTCAGGATTATATAAACTGTCTCTAATATTCTTTTAGAAATAATAATAGCAGTAACAACAGAGGATAATATTAACAACAATAGCATTTATTGCCTGCTTACTCTGTGCCAGGAACTACACTGATCATTCTATGAGTCAGGTAATATTATTTTTTCCTATTTCAGACATAAGGAAAAAGAAGCTTAGAGCATTTAGTAGTTTGCTCATACTCAGACAGCTAGTTAGTGTCAGAACCAAAATTTGAACCCAACAGGCTGACTCTAAAGCCCAGGCTCTTGATCACTAAGCTATGTAACTTCACAGTACAAGAATGTCTCTTGGTTGGAATCCTCAGTCTTCCCTAGGACAGATTTAATGACTCTTATCTTCTCATCCCATTTCATCACTGTCTTAGTTACCTAGTGTTCCAATACTGGAATATCACAAGTGGATGGCTTTAACAAACAGAAATTTATTTTCTTATAGCTTAGAAGGCTAGAAGTCCAAATTCAAGGTTTTCTCCCTCTGTTGACTGTGGGGGAAGGTCATTTTTCTCTTCAGCTTGTTTCCTGGTTTCTTGGAGATCTACATGTTGCTTGGCATTTTTCTTCCCCCATCCCTTTTTGCTACCTTGTTTGTTTAGTTTCTTTTATATCTCAAAAGAGATTAACTCAAGATACACCCTACTGTAATCATGCATCATTAACGTAAGTGAGACAACCATTCTCAAATAAGATTAAAACCACAGGTATAGAGGTTAGAATTTATAACACATATTTTTTGGGGATACAATTCAATCCATAATAATCACCTTTTCCTAAAATACCTATTTATCTTCTTGCTATTTTTATTGCTACTAAGGATGTTCGCAAAGAATTGGCCAATGAAAACCTTACGAATGGCAGTGAGACACTGTCTGATATATTACTGGAAGACTTTATGAATAGCCCTGAAACACTGTCTGATATAGTGCCAAAAGATAAGCCCCTCAGGTGGGAAGTCATTCCAAATATGAGTGGGGAAGAGCTGCCTCCTCAGAGTGAAGCTGACCTTAATGATATGGATGAAGCAAAGCTTTTGGGACCTCCATTTGCTGATGTAGCATGACATAAAATGAGAAGAAACAGCTGCAAACATCCATTAATAATCAGAACATGGAATGTATGAAGTATAAATCTAAGAATATTGGAAGTTGTCAAAAATGAAATGGAAGGCATAGAGATCGACATCCTAGGCATTAATGAGCTGAAAAGGACTGGTTTTGGCCATTTTGAATCAGACAACCATGTGTTCTACTATGCCGGGAATGACAAATTGAAGAGGAATGTCATGGCACTCATTGTCACAAAGAATGTTTCAAGATCTGTCCTGAAGTATAATGCTGTCAGTGATAGGATAATATCCATATGCCTACAAGGAACATCAGTTAATAACATTATTTTTCAAAACTATGCACCAACCACCAAAGCCAAAGATGAGGAAATTGAAGATTTTTTTTTACCAACTTCTGCAGTCTGAAATTAACCAAACATGCAATCAAGATGTGTTGATTATCACTGGGGATTGAAATGCAAAAGTTGGAAACAAAGAAGAATCACTGGTAGTCAGAAAATATTGCCTTGGTGATAGAAATAATGCTGGCGATCGCATGATAGATTTTGCAAGATCAACGATTTATTCAGGGCAAATACCTTTTTTCAACAACATAAACGGTGGCTATACACATGGACTTCACCAGATGGAGTACAAGGAATCAGACTGACTACATCTATGGTAAGACACAATGGAGAAGCTCAGTATCTTCACCCAAAACAAGACCAAGAACTGACTGTGGAACAGACCATCAACTGCTCATCTGCAAGTTCAAGATGAAGCTGAAGAAAATTCACACAAGTCCATGAGAGCCAAAATATAACCTTGATTATGTTGTTGTTGTTTTTATGTGTCGTTGAGTCATTCCCGACTCATAGTGACCCCTCCTTGGGTTTCTGAGGCAGTATAACTACAGAAGTAGGATTGCCCAAGCTTCCTTCTGAGGACTGGTTGGTGGGTTTGAACCACCAGCCTTCTGGTTAGCAGTCAAGTGCCTTAGGCACTATGCTACCAGAGCTCCTAACCTTGATTATATCCCTTTTGAATTTAGAGACCGTCTAAAGAATAGATTTGATGTATTGCATACCAGTGACTGAAAACCAGAAGAATTGTGGGATGTCATCAAGAACATCATCCACGAAGAAAGTAAAAGGTCATTGAAAAGACAGAAAAGGAAGAAAAGACCAAATGGATGTCAGAAGAGACTCTGAAACTTGCCTTTGAGGAAAGAGTAGCTAAAGCAAATGGAAGAAATGACAAGATAAAAGAGCTGAACAGAAGATTTCAAACAGTAGCTTGAGCAGACAAAACCAATTACTATAATGAAATTAGCAAAGACCGGGAGTTTGAAAACCAAAAGGGAAGAACACGCTCGACATTTCTCAAGCTGAAAGTAGTGAAGAAAAAATTTAAGCCTCAAGTTGCAATATTGAGAGATTCTACGGGCAAAATATTGAATGATGGAAGAATCATCAAAAGAAGATGGAAGGAATACACAGAGTCACTGTACCAAAAAGAACTGGTAGGTCTCCATTCATTTCAGAAGGTGGCACATGATCAAGAACCAGTGGTACTGAAGGAAAAGAAGCTGAGGCTGCACTGAAGGAATTGGCAGAACACACATTGAGACGTTTCAACAAATAGATGCTGTGCTGGAGGCACTCACTCAGCTATGCCAAGAGATTTGGAAGACAGCTACCTCGCCAACTGACTGGAAGAGATCCATATTTGTACCCATTCCAAAAAGTGTGATCCCACAGAATGTGGAAATTAGCATACAATATTAATATCACATGCAAGTAAAATCTTACTGAAGAAAATTCAAAAATGGCTGCAGCAGTATATTGACAGAGAACTTCCAGAAATGCAAGCTGGATTCAGAAGAGGATGTGGAACAAGGGATATCATTGCTGATGTTAGATGGATCTTGGCTGAAAACAAAGAATACCAGAAAGATGTTTACTTCTGTTTTATTGACTATGCAAAAGCTTTCAATTGTGTGGATCATAACAAATTATGGGTAACATTGAGAAGAATGGGAATTCCAGGACATTTAATTGCATTCATGAGGAACCTGTACATAGACCAGGAGGCTGTCATTTGAATAGAACAAGGGGATACTGCATGGTTTAAAATCAAGAAGGGAGTGCATCATGTTTGTATCCTTTCACCCTACTTGTTCAATCTGTATGCTAAACAAATAATCCATGAAGCTGGACTATATGAAGAAGAACATGGCATCAAGATTGGAGGAAGACTCATTAACAACCTGCGATATGCAGACGACACAACTTTGCTTGGTGAAAGTGAGGATGTCTTGAAGTACTTACTGGAGAAGATTAAAGACTATAGTCTGCAGTATGGATTACATCTCAATATAAAGAAAACAAAAATCTTCACAATGGGACCAATAAACAGCATCATGATAAAAAGACAAAAGACTGAAGTTGTTAAAGACTTCATATCACTTGGTTCTACAATCAACACCAATGAGAGCAGTAGTCAAGCAGTCAAACAACATATGCATTGGGCAAATTAGCTCCAAAAGACCTCTTTCAGGTTCTGAAGAGCAAAGGTATCTCCTTGAAGACTAAGGTGTGCCTGACACAAGCCATGGTATTTTCAATCACCTCTTATGCACGTGAGAGCGGGACAATGAATAAGGAAGACCAAAGAAGAGTTGATCCTTTTGAGTTGTGGTGCTGGCAAAGAATGCTGACAGTACCATGGACTGCTAAAAGAAGTAAACAAATCTGTCCTGGAAGAAGTGCAGCCAGAATGATCCTTGGAAGCAAGAAGGGCCAAACTTCATCTCACCTACTTTGGTTATGTTAGAAGGACCCATTCCCTGGAGAAGGATATAATGCTTGGTGTTATGGTTTCCTAGTGCCACTGTGAAAAGAATATACCACCAATGGGATGGCCCGAACAAACAGGAGTTTATTCTCTAACAGTTTGGAGGCTTTAAGTCCGAGTTCAAATTGCCAGGCTCTAGGGGCTGGGTGAAAGTCCCTCACCCATGGGTTTCAACTCTGCCTCCTGTTCCTGGTTCACTGAAGCTAGAGGCTATTCTTCACTCAGACAGCTGCTGGCTGCTGAGACTGACAAGTAAAAAAGCATGGTCCCAATCTTACCAAACCACATGGTAGGCCATGAATTCAAGTCCTTTGAAAGTACCAAGGTCAGCAGAGCTTGGCAGAATGCTGAATAATGGCACAGCTAAATGCAGGGTTCAAGTATGCCATAAGCTAGCGACCATTCCCCAAGGCTTCTCCTTATATATAGGAACCAGACCACATCCCTAAGGCAGCTACTCAGCTGCTCACAGTAGATTCCACCATGGAATTGATTACCGGTCTCATCACGGGGAATTCTACATCCAGCTGCCCAGCCACTCAGTCAGGCCCAGCCAAGTTGACAAACAAGCTTAACTACCACACTTGGTAAAGTGGAGGGTCAGTGAAAACGGGGAAGGCCCTCAACAAGATGGATTGATACAGTGGCTGCAACAATGGGCTTAGGTATTACAAAGATCATGAGGATGGCACAGGACCGGGCAGTGTTTCATTCTGTTGTACATAAAGTCACTAAGCGTAGGAGACGACTCCACCACACTTAACAACAAACAATAACAGCAAGTGAGGATGTTGGATGACATTTCAACTTCTCCAGAAGTCCAAACTACCTTTCCAATCTTCTCTCTTACATGAAACCTTTTCAGCCCAACAGTTTTATTGTTTGTACATTCAGTGAGTTGACCTTACATCTTCCCACATTTGGCTTTATCTTAACCATTTTCTACCACACAACTTCTCTCTGCCTCTATAAATCCCTTTCTTCTTGAGAAGCTAGTTAATTATGATCTTTGTGAACTCTCCCTGACTACTCCTGCTTGCTGTCTTTCTGCCTGCTCTCAGTCCCTCCATTAGGCCCTTTATCTCGTACTTCCTCTTGAGCCAAATCAAACTTCTTATATCTTGCTGTTATCTTTTCCTCCATTGTATTTTGACCACACCTAGACTGTGGATTATGAGGACAATGATCAAATTTCATGATTTTTCTACACTCTATATGGCCCTGTATAGTACTTTCTGCGCCAGGATTCAAATTATTTAATCAAGGAGGTGATTCATTTTCTCCATTTTAAGTTTTATTCTTTTTATGAAAAATATTAACTGTATTTTATTCTTTTCTAGTTTTCCTTACAGGAAGTGATAGGCTGAATGTAAAAGGTATAAAGAAAAGTGGAATAGTATTTCGCTGTCCTGAAACTTTCCAGGAATGTGATCACATAAGAGCATTAACATGTCATAATATCCTGGACCTCCCCAAATATTCTACAATGGAAAGAATGGAGGAAGCGCTTCAAGTAATCATCAACAACTGTAGAGGATTTAGCTCAACCAGGAATACATTTCAGTAATTTCCTCTGCAAGTCTCAGTGGGGTCTTATATTCTCAGGCCCTCTCACCCTTGGATTCTTCTATTCTTCTTTAGATCTAATTAGTACGTGAGATTGATAGATTTTGGTTAGAATTAGTTGACAAATGTTGAAATAAACCATAAGTGATGATTCAAGGATAATATTTTTAATCAAACAAAGTTATGAGAGAATAATTCTTGTATTTCTATACTTGCTATTTAAGATGTTTGCTTTTTACTGAATTATTTCCTAAATAATAATAGTTTAAAAATAAATTATGAATGTTAAAAGCTGACAGATATTTTACAAAATATATTTGTACATCTAATAAACACTGTGTGAAAGACATGTTAAAGTTTGAATAAAATATACAAAAATATAAATTAATTTTACTTTTACCATATTTTTGAAGCACACAGATATATATTTAATAGTCAGGAATGTCTCTAGAGCTCTGGTCTTAGCAAATTGCTCAGTAATTTGAAAAATCTAAATGATAAGGTATTCATTAATTCATTTACTTATACTCTATACTATATTCCAAGAACCATTCCAAATGCAGACATCTTTATTTTGATTAAACATTGATCCAGTCAGAACTCCTGTTTAATTTAGTTAGGGAAATGTGAAGAGAATAAAATATGTCAGCATCATGGTGGTAGACCATGGTAGGAAATGGTCAATTAATTTTGTGGAACATTATATCTAAAATTAAAATTTAAACTGTAAGCTGTGTTATAAATGCTTGCTGTTTTCCCAAACCATACACTGGAGCCTTTGTCAGTAGTACTCTGGGGAATGAAAGAAATCATGCCAATTCTTTACAAACTCTTTCAGGAAACAGAAGAGGCAGGAACACACTCCAATTAATTCTATGAGCCAGTATTGCCCTGATAGCAAAGCAAGACAAAAAACATGACAGGGAATGAAAACTATAAGAAAATCTTTCTCATGAAAATAGACACAAAAAAATCTCTAGAGAATTTTACATATCAAATGCTACAATGTATTACAAAGATAATACCTCATGACCAGGTACAGTTTAGCTCAAAAATGTATTGAAAAATAAATCAATTTTACTTTACATATTACTAGGCAAAAAAAGAAAACTCATACAATCACCTCAACAGAATCAGGAAAGAACATTGGATTATTATTCATAGAATTTAAACTTGTTACAAGTAACCCACATTTAAAAGAGGTTAGGAGGCTGTCTTCTGTAATTAGAAATAACACTGGAGAAAACCCTTGTTTGAAGATGTCTATTTTGGATCTTGAGTTCTTTCATCTGAACTGTGGAATAGAAATGCCATTATTCACCCTGAATTTTTAAAAGGTCCACATAGTGTCATGTACCATTATCTAAACATTTGACTGAAAAGACATAAGTAGCTATGGTCTTTGTGACCAATGTTTCTTTCTCCTAGTGATGAGTTTCCTCAGGATATGTTATCTTAGTTTGGGTTCCCACAAAAGTAGAGCCTGAGATAAGTACCTGGCTGCAGAGAATTTATTTGGAAAGTAATGGCAACAAAGTAGGAGTGCAGGGAATGGACAGGAAAGAGAAAGAAGACAAAGTATGTGTTACTGAGTGGTTACTGCTATAGACAACTGGGCTGGATTCCATGCTTTCTCAGTTAGATCAGGGAACATGTCTCATGATTGGCCCACTGGAGGCTAAGAGGAGAGGCTTGGGGCATTTATCTACCAACTCCCATTTGCATTGATGAAGGGCTGCTCTGTGAGCATCAGCACCCCTTCACTTCCAAATGGGTCTTCTTGCTTCAGCAGTGCCAGAGACAGCCCTTGGGCAAAGAAGAGAGAAGCAGCTGGCTGAGGTGGGAACAGCTACAGGGGAATTGTACATGTGGTAGGACATCAACAATGACAAACATAACTGTATTTGGAAGTAGTTTATTCTTTCACTGACACTTCTATAGGGTGGATGGAATCAAAGAATCTTAAACCTGAGGGGGATTTTGAACACCTTCTTGTTTAAGGATCACAAATTCAAATATTGCCAATATTGAGTGAAACAGACTGGATGTTAAAAGAACAACAGCACAAGACAGGTTACTAGTGACACATGTATGGGTGGTGGTTAATTCCACAAGTGTAGAACTTGTGTTCAGAGTTACCTCACCTAAGGAATGAGGAAACTGGAGTATTTCCACATCAACTCCCTTGTCAGTAACTGGTTGAAGGCAGTTCTTGGGAAGCATTAATTTCTAGGCACTTCTGGCCAGCTGGATATGGAACAAAGGGGCTTCCAACTCCCAGTGTAAACCCTTAGGAAAAGAGAGGCAAATGCTGGCAACTGGAAACTAGGCCTGCAGGCTTAATAATGGCAAGTCTTGAGGGGATATAGTTGGGTAGCTACGGAGCAGCTTCCTCCCTTAACTTTTAGTATGTACTCAAAATTAAGGCATATCATATTTTAATTCTCTAGAACAGTGCCTTGTATGTAGTGATTGCTCAATATATATTGAATGAATATATCATCTGTATGAACATCTCACCTGCTAGAATGCCAGAGCATAAGTTTATTCACCCAAAATGTGCTGGACACATGCTAAATGATAAATGAACAATTGCTGAGTAACCACAAAAGTTAAATAAAACATCTGACAAAATTCAACATGCATTCATGATACATATTCTTAGCAAACTAAGACCATAAGGGAATTTCCTCATGCTGACAAACAGCACCTATGAAAAGCCTACCAAATCAAAAACAAAACAAGTTGCCTAGAGCCAATTCTGACTCATAGCAACCCCATGTGTGCAGACTAGAACTGTACTCCATAGGGTTTTCAAGACTGACTTTTCATAAGCAGATTCCAAGCCCTTCTGTCAACGTTTCAGTTAGTAGTACAGTGCTTAACCATTTCTGCCATGCAGGTACCAAAATACCTCATTTTTAATGGTGACAGTATGAATGCTTTCCCACTAAGTTTAGGAACAAGGCAAGGATGTTCACTTTCACCACTTTTATTCAACATTATACTAAAGGTATTAGTCCACACAACATGGCAAGGAAAAGCCCATACAACATGGGAAGGAAAAGAAAGACAAGGAAGACTGGAAAGGAAGGAGTAAAACTATGTCTTATTTGCAAACAACATGATCATTTACATAGAAAATTTCAAGGAATCTAAAAATAAAAACAAAACTACCAGACCTGGGAAGAAGGATGGGACCATCCACTTCTGAAAAATTGGGCCAGTGAAAACCTTATGAACACAGTCACACATTGTCTTATATATTACTGGAATACTTTATGAATAGCCCTGAAATGCTGCCTGACATAGTGCCGGAAGATGAGCCCCGCAGGTTGTCAGGATATCAAAACAGGACTGGGGAAGAGCTGTCGCCTTAAAGTCAAGTCGACCTTAATGACATGGATGGAGTAAAGCTTTGTTGTTAGGTGTCATCAAGTCGGCTCTGACTCATAGCAACCCTATATACAACAGAACAAAACACTGTCTGGTCTTAGGCCAGCCTCACAATCCTTGCTATATTTGAGCCCATCGTTCCAGCCACTGTATCAATCCTTCTTGCTGAGGGTCTTCCCCTTGGCTTCAATGATGGGATAAATTACAGCAAGGATTGTGAGGATGGGACATGACCAGGCAGGGTTTCATTCTGTTGTATATAGGGTCACTATGAGTTGAAGCCAACTCGATTGCACTTAACAACAACAACAGACCTAATGAATGATCTTAGTTTATAAATCAATATTCAGAAATCAACTGATTTCCATATGCCAACAAGAAGGAATTACAATTTGAAATTTTAAAGAGTATCATTTGCAACATCACCAAAAATAAATACTTAAGGATAAATTTAACAAAGTACAGGGGGAGTTCCGGTAAGATGGAGGAAGGGGCAGACAAACTATACAGACCCTCTTCAACAAAGAAAAGGGGAACCAATTAACATAGAGACAGAAGGTAATCATGGATCCCTGACCTTTGAAAGGAAGGATATAGAAGTGGACTAAACTCCAACTAGTAGAAGAACCTGCATGAAAACACTGAAAAAGGAGACATACGGAACTGCAGTCTGTCAGTGATCCTGACAGCATGGACAGCTTGGACATGGCCAAGTGGTGTTAGGACCTAAGAGTTAACCTAAAAATTGGCTCTGCTAGCCAGGGGCTGCACAGAGGACTGCACAGGTGGCTGATGAATAAAAGGAGGCTGGTGAATAAAACAAGAAGCAGCGAAGAAGGAGATGAGATGAGCTGTGGCATTTTGGCTGCCTGGAGTGCACAGCCATTTTGAATATTTACAAGCAATTTGACCATTTTGGATAATTAAAGTAACAGTGTTCTCTCAGATTCCAGGCACCTAAGAATAGGCTCCACTTGCTGGAGACCCCCAAGGACATTCCAGACGCAAATGACTGGGAAAATGTGATATTCTCCTTGTTACTCCATACCCCACACCCTCTTGGTGAATGGAGGTGCGGCCATCCCTCACTCTCATCTACCTTCTGGGCTGGCAGGAATTCCATCCCAGTCTGTATGCTCCAATGGAGCCTGGGTGCCCTGCCCCACCCTGCCCAGATTTTCTTTTTCTTTTTGGTTTATTTGTTTTTGTCTGTTTTAAAAATATTATTATTATTATTATTTCTGTTTTCTATCTTTTTTATTATTATTCTTTATTCTTTGCCTCTCAGGTTCTATTTTTCAGCTTTTTCTCTCTTTCCTGTTTCTGGTGCCCATGTTTTTCTTCCTC